TAATAACGCGAAGGTCGTGGGTTCGATCCCCCCACGGGCCAGTTGTTTTTTTTTCTCGCCCCTTTTATTTTTATTACTGAAATATAGTTGTAAGATCACCAAGCATACTGTTGTGATTGCTGCAAAAATTATGATTGTTACCGTGTTTAGACATTTCTGTTGCATGCGACAAATGATGCTCATTTATTTGTATCGTGAGGTCATTCTGCTGAGAACAGTTAGTGTATCAGTGCTACCACTTCCGAATTGCATTATTTTCGTATCAGTCTCTTTGTTCAATCTCTGACTAACCACTGAATGGATTTCGTGTCAATTTGGCATTTCAGTTCTGTACTGAAAGTTATTGGAAGCATTTAATTTTGGTTCGTACAAGCACAGTACAACCCCTGCTGTACATGGATATGTAATCGAAGTAGATATTACAACACATAAGACCAACATCGATGTTGTCACTACCGTAATAACCTCTAATCTGAGGTGAGACTAATTGCATATTCTTTGGAATTGTAATGTTATTTCTTTCTAACTTAGTGCTTCAGATCGTTGATGAAAGTGATAGTGGTTTAGTGGTTCGGCAACGTCTACTGTACTACTAGGACAGCCACAACTAGAAAGAGTTTGATGGGTCATATATTGGCACTTGCATCGATCTGCAACGTGGAGCTTCTCCGAGTAATCATTTCTGGTAAGCCAAATCAAATTTCCGAGGTGATATTTATATTAAAGGTTGTGATACATTACATGCGTTGGTTATTGTCTTTGTTAAAGTGTAACTAGGCGAAAGCAATTGGACATAGTCCGTATGTTGGCAATTTTCCCACGGTGTATGAAACCTTTGTAACATTGTCAGAAACTGACTGTTCAAGAACTAAAGAGCATGGATAAGAGAAGAAAGTCAGAAACTGACTGTTCCAGAACTAAAGAGCATGGATAAGAGAAGAATCAGTAAGACAGCCGAGCGTTGTGATCGAGTGGTTAGCACTCCGGTTTCAAATTTGGGATCTCTTAGGTTGGAATGATCTGTTCTCCCATGTAGATGATGGGATAGGGCTATCTTAAATAGGCAACGACCACTTCCTTGTATTTTATTTTCGAACAATCCTATCATTTAACTGTACAGCCGTGTTAAAACGAAGATAAACAACACAAGAGTCTTAGCCCGACCAAAATGGATTTGTTTAGTAACGATATTAGACCAGTTGTACAAATACAGGATTTCGCAAATCTTTGTTTACTTTATCTCTCTTGAGTACAAATACGTGTATTTTCTAGACTACCTTGTTTACAAATTCTCGATAGTTCGGTTCCTCCGTCTCACTTGAAACTGGTATGGAGGAAGTTCTTCTGCGGGGGAAATGGCCAACGATATTTGTATCTAGAGCAAGGTTTATTACCATTTCCAAAGTGATCAAAGTGGTTTATCTTTTGTTACATTAAAATATGTACTTGTGCAAACGAAATGTTGGTTTGCCACGTCAAGCTTGTAATTTAAACAATGCCTTTGTTCCTCTGACGACTTCCTGCCGTGTTGTAACTATGTCCTTCACGACGGAGTTTTCATCAAAAACGTTGCAGGCCTATTAATTTTTACATCGATTCCCTTAATATTTAGTAACATGTTTGAATTATTTCGATGAGATATTGGCTCCCTACCCAACCCCAAGTTTGACCACCCCTCGTCGGCTGTCTCCGACTTTATTCTATATATCCACAGCTAGCACCCATACCTGGTAATTGTTCTTCAGCCACGACCAGAGGATATTCCAGCTTCGTGGTGACAACTGACACCCACTTAATCAAATTTTTAGCCAAAAAATTTGATTAGCTGAGAGACTGTTAGTTTCTAAAGGACTCTGTTCCATTGAGTTAGTTTCATAAAATAGCAGTAGGAAGGTCGGTATAAGACAGATATTAGACCTAAAGTTTTAAACGTCCTGTGGTCACTGAAGAAGATGCAATTAAAGGCGAATGACTGAAATATGAGTAAATAAGAAAGGTCCGTTTCGAGTTGTGTAATATCTTAAAGAGAAATTAAGGGTTTTAACATAAAACAGTACTAATAAATTTTATATTTTAGGTCACTCATAATGTGAAGTCTTAAGCTGTAGCTAATTTGGCTTTGTAGAAACTGTCAATGGCCCCTATTCCTAATACATGTTAGTTTTTTCGGCAACAAATTCCTGTCTGTTTCACTCAGAGAACACCAAGACCTCTGAAGAAAAATAAATTCACGAAGGACGCATTTGGATACTCGTGAACATGCACTGTCCCCCACCCCACACCAAGCGTTTCGTCACTGTCATCACACAGCGTGTGACAGTGTAGTACTTTTCGTGATGCAACCGACATGTTTCTTTGAAGCAACTTCCAAACACAGACTTACGTGTGACACTTTCGAGGTATTTGCCCGAAGATCTGTAGTGTTCTACAAATGTCTGGGGCCACGGACCCTAGACACAGATGTCACTAGTGCAAAGATGACTGATTTAAGGAACAAATGAATACCGCATTGTCATGGTGAAACTCTACTCTCTCTTCTGACTTCTTTACAGAAATTAAGTTGAAATACATCTAGCTACGACAGGTTGTCTAT